CATGGGAATTTTAATAAAGGCACACTAAACCGGTTGCACAACTTATGAAGGGGAGAGCAAATATGAAAATATACATCAAGGTTATTATACACAGGCAGAAAGAAGATAGTTCCATGCTATAGCATGGGAATTTTGATAAAGGCACACTAAACCGGTTGCAAAACTTATGAAGTGGAGAGCAAATATGAAAATATACATCAAGGTTATTATACACAGGCAGAAAGAAGATAGTTCCATGCTATAGCATGGGAATTTTGATAAAGGCACACTAAACCGGTTGCAAAACTTATGAAGGGGAGAGCAAATATGAAAATATACATCAAGGTTATTATACACAGGCAGAAAGAAGATAGTTCCATGCTATAGCATGGGAATTTTGATAAAGGCACACTAAACCGGTTGCAAAACTTATGAAGGGGAGAGCGAATATGAAAATATACATCAAGGTTATTATACACAGGCAGAAAGAAGATAGTTCCATGCTATAGCATGGGAATTTTGATAAAGGCACACTAAACCGGTTGCACAACTTATGAAGGGGAGAGCAAATATGAAAATATACATCAAGGTTATTATACACAGGCAGAAAGAAGATAGTTCCATGCTATAGCATGGGAATTTTGATAAAGGCACACTAAACCGGTTGCAAAACTTATGAAGGGGAGAGCAAATATGAAAATATACATCAAGGTTATTATACACAGGCAGAAAGAAGATAGTTCCATGCTATAGCATGGGAATTTTGATAAAGGCACACTTAACCGGTTGCACAACTTATGAAGGGGAGAGCAAATATGAAAATATACATCAAGGTTATTATACACAGGCAGAAAGAAGATAGTTCCATGCTATAGCATGGGAATTTTGATAAAGGCACACTAAACCGGTTGCAAAACTTATGAAGTGGAGAGCAAATATGAAAATATACATCAAGGTTATTATACACAGGCAGAAAGAAGATAGTTCCATGCTATAGCATGGGAATTTTGATAAAGGCACACTAAACCGGTTGCAAAACTTATGAAGGGGAGAGCAAATATGAAAATATACATCAAGGTTATTATACACAGGCAGAAAGAAGATAGTTCCATGCTATAGCATGGGAATTTTGATAAAGGCACACTAAACCGGTTGCAAAACTTATGAAGGGGAGAGCGAATATGAAAATATACATCAAGGTTATTATACACAGGCAGAAAGAAGATAGTTCCATGCTATAGCATGGGAATTTTGATAAAGGCACACTAAACCGGTTGCACAACTTATGAAGGGGAGAGCAAATATGAAAATATACATCAAGGTTATTATACACAGGCAGAAAGAAGATAGTTCCATGCTATAGCATGGGAATTTTGATAAAGGCACACTAAACCGGTTGCAAAACTTATGAAGGGGAGAGCAAATATGAAAATATACATCAAGGTTATTATACACAGGCAGAAAGAAGATAGTTCCATGCTATAGCATGGGAATTTTGATAAAGGCACACTTAACCGGTTGCACAACTTATGAAGGGGAGAGCAAATATGAAAATATACATCAAGGTTATTATACACAGGCAGAAAGAAGATAGTTCCATGCTATAGCATAGGAACCGTGATTTGGTAAGTGATCAGCGATTGAACATATAACATTTGTGATAATGTGTGTTTAGATGGATTCCATAAATTATACCCACGAAAACAAATACTAAAATAAAAATGTCATTTTACAGTATACGTTTATGGACGTTTATATACGTTTATACATCGGTACCTCATATCGTAAAAATTGTTTTTTGGAAATAGATCATGATCACTGACTACCCTTACAATCAATGAAAAAATTTCGTTCAGCTACTCATAAAATATTTTTTGTTTTCCAAATGCATTATGGTCTCATATTTTAAGGGTTTTTGATCTGATGTGAGAAGATATATTGTAACAATGTAGATATATTGTAAAAATTTGCGAGCTATCATATATTTTTTGCTTTTGACGAGTAATGCAGTAATAAACAGTGAACATTTAAATTAATCGCGCACGTAAAAACCGAATACTCGTGATTCATTCTAAAATCCCTTAATAATTTGAACTGCGGCAACGCTAAATGAAATGTAAAAGTATATTTGATTTCAGGGCTTTAAATAAGAGAGGAACAAATGGAGAAACAAATGTTACCAATTCGTGCAACCGGGTGAATTAGAAAATTCGGACGCCAACCGCCGAACGCCCAACATCGTTCTTAAAAAAGTGGGAGACAATTTATAGTTTACCATTTCTGGCAGTGACATAAGAATCAAGACATTTTAATCACTCTAGATTTTGCTTTCTTAAAAGAGACCTTCATCTACATTGCTCTGGGCCTTGTCATCCAGAGTAAAAACATGAAGTATCAAAGTCGCCACGGTTTCCAAATCTGAGTACCCTTTCAATTGATTTACTTTCTTAAAAGAGGGCTTCAACTGCACCTAAAGTACTAAGCTCCGATACTCAAGGTAATTAGTTCAACAAATTCAGCAAATGAAGATGAGAGCATCTTTATCTACAGTACTTTATCTAATTTGCTCATAAAACGTACAGCAACGTAACGTAATAAGAAGTTTAAATAAAGAAGTCATTTTCCTTTCATATCTCTCCATATTTTACTTTTAATGACTAGGAATAACGTTGTATCAATATTAAGACATTCATGGCCGAGAAGTATAGATGAAAGTGAGTACTAAATACGGATGGCTATCGTTGAATGATAGTGTTTTATGGACAATGATTGCAGCTTTAGAGGAGGGTTACACTTTCAAACACCCCCTTCATAAGTTTGGAAATTTGAAGTCCCCTTTTGGGTCACTTATCGAAGCTGGGTAGTGTTTCGCGATTTAAACAATGTTATCAAATTTGTCATAAATATCCGAAATATTATATTTAATGAAACAAAATTGAGATTCAGACATTGTCAGCCTTGATATGTTCTTTAAAGAAAGTTAGCGGTTGCTAAGCTTATTAAAGGGAGTGTAGAACATATTTGCACAGGGAGATTTATGGCAAATGGCCTATCATACATATTTGTCAATATCATTAGATCCATAGGGTGTTTGAAGCAGCCACACATTCATTCATTACGTCTTGGTTAAAGGCCTCGTACACAGATGGAAAATGTAGTACATAAATCAAATGTTATTGTGCATAACGAAAATTACATGTATATGAGCGATTAAAAAATGTGACTGTTCACTAGAATTGATGGAAAATAGTTTCCAAAATTTTCCAAGTTTCCAAAATTGTTAATTTTACGATATATATTTTTCTCTCATCATTTTTTCAGGGAAGATAAATAGTTCTGACCGTACTTCAGGATAATTCTGTCTGACAAAGATTGATAAAGGATACGCCCCTCTTTCAATTTGGACATTGCTGTATTTTAAAGCATCAATTCTTTTTGTATTGGATCAGATATCTCAATTCACTATTGTCAGAAAATAAAATTAGTACTTTTAGGAAACATGGGCATTATTTTTGAAAATATTGCTTCAAACATTGTTCACCCACTTTCCTTTTTAATTCTGTTAATCATCATTAATTCCGTTTTAATATAATTTCATACGATCGTTACTCTGTTCGAACTTGAACTGATGTTACCATATCCAACGCTATAATAAATGCTTTCAAATATATAAAAGACGATCATTAAATTGTCCATATTGACCGTATATTTGGAACTAAAGAGCACCGTGGTCACGACATAGTACCATTATTAAATGATTGTGATATCATAAAGTATTATCTACGATCGTTATTTGATCATATAATAATAGCATTTTGTCAGATAGCCGATAGAATTTGATGGGAGTTACTATTAATTACGGCTTATGAATTAATTGGGTGAAATGAGCTCGTTAAGATAACGTGGTCTTTAAATTGTTACCGCACGAAGGAAGGCGCTTAAAGGAGCGACTTAGGGTAGAATAGGGTGGAGACGTACTGACGTTTTTTTGAGGCAGTGTCATTGATTTGCTCATGGCATTCTTTTCCATGAATATTTCTCTCAGGGATTGGTATCAATATGGAGAACTGAATTGAACACATGTTTCTCTTAAACCAGTCATCAAAATATTCTGAAAATTTCACACATCGTCAATCTAATGATCATCTTTTGAATGGCAATTTTTCTTTGTAATTTTTTTAGAATACACTTCAGACACTTATTTTGCTCTTGGTATCATATGTTCGGATTGAAATTAAACATCTATCCGAACCTCATTAGAACAAAGCGACATAAACACAGCGTGTTTAGTTCTCTCAATATTGTAATTGTACAAAGGAAGGTTTGGTTGATTTTAAAAAGTATCTTGTTAGTGAAATAAAAGTTTTACTTTAATTGTTATCTATTTTCTGGGGGTTTTTTATTTGACTTTTTGAACACTTTTTAGTAAATCAACCAAATTTTCCTTTGTATAAATATAATGTTGAGAGATTTAAGAAAATGTTGTATATGCTATTTTGTCCCAACAAGGTTCGGAAAAATAATTTATTTCATTCTCAAGAATTGGTAGAAAGGAACAAAAAACAATTGCATTAAAAATCGAAAAATGTTAACAAAAACAGTTATAACAGAAAAACCATGTTGAATTCAGTTTGCCATATCGACACCAATCATTCCATGACTGTTTTGATGAATTGAATCATAACTTTACGTTTATTTAGTAATACCTTCGAAAAACTGGTTCCCTGATTTCGATAGTCAAATAGATTTATATGTTTTTACAGTCGTGATTTTCATTCGAAACATGTTTAACCAATTAAAAGAAAACGGAACTTCAAAGATAATCTCAGTTAAATCAAAGACTCCTACACTCCCCTCAATAAGTTTGGCAACCTCCCCCCCCATAGTCTTACATGTTAAAGCCTCTCCGAGTCTTGATGCTTGTATTTTTATTTTCATAAGCTCAATTTTGGAAATTATGGTGAAAATAGAGTTTCCACATCTTCTGAGGGAAGTGTACGTCATATGAAAGATTTCCTCACCTTTGTTTACATCGACGTTGTCTCTTTCTAAGTTAAATGCAGCAGCGAATACCAGTAAGGTCAGTAGTATAGTCGGGTATACGACCACTTTCGTTATGTACATGGCAACTCACAACTCAATAATTCAGACTCTCTGAAAATACAATTCAATACCAATAAGGTCAGTAGTATAGTCGGGTATACGACCACCTTCAATACCAATAAGGTCAGTAGTATAGTCGGATATACGACCACCTTCAATACCAATAAAGGTCAGTAGTATAGTCGGATATACGACCACCTTCAATTGTAACAAGTTTTAGGTTTTATATACATTTAATTTTAGAACAACTTGATTTTTAGGTTTTAAAATATATTTCATTGTTCTATACATTTGGTTACATTTGGTTTACATCATTTCTATTCTTTATTCCTCTTTAGTTCATTTGCACTCAATACGTGATATCATTCATAAATAGCATTAAAATCTTGGCTCTTTTCATATTATTATGTCTTTTCTATCAGGAAAGTTCCAATTCCCATTAAGGAGGATTTCTTAGTTCAGGATATTCTAGTGTATTACATAATCTACTTGGCTTTCTATTGGTTCAAATGTTGGTTCCTTATGGGAACCAACATTTACCTCCATTTAAAGGAGTTTTAGGAAGCCCAGTAGATTTAATTTGATATCATCTTTAACTTGTTCTTCATTAGTTTATATATTTGGGAATTATGGGAAATTATTATTTGCCTCCTTTTTGGAATCTTCCCTGTGGAACTTTCCATACTTTCGGACTTTTCTTTATTATCATCTCAGGAAATCATCTTCAGTACAGTTTAAAATATCAAATACGACACAACTACTACGGAACAACATGTAAACATTTGGATTTTTATATTTAAGGAATAAACTTTTTGGGATCTAAAAACTTGTCTTTTCTGTTGGATATTTTTAAAGTTAGTTAGTCAATTAGAACCTGGGATAAAAAACTGTTACATTGGTTGCCCGTTGGCAGGGGATCCTTTTTAATGGAATTTCAAGAACAATTATCTGTATCTCATTCGTTAGTAGTAGCCAAAATTAAAGAAAATGGAATACTAGGTTGTGATTTCCTTCGTACCAGAAATTGTGACATTGACATGGAAAGTGGTTTGTTATATGTAAACAATCAGTGCATCCAGTGTATAGCTGAAGAACAGCTTGAAGTAAACAAAAATATAACTGATATAAACAATGACATTATTCTAGTGCAGGATGACATAGAAATCCCTGCCAATAGTGAAATGATTGTACCGGGGAGGATACAGAATAATAAATGGACTGCGAAAGTTCAACAAGTACTACTAGAACCATTTAAAAATTTAGAAATGGATATGGATATGTATGGTGTTAGTGTAGCGAGGTCTCTAGTAAATCCCCATGGGACAGTTATACCCGTGCGGGTTATTAATGTGAATGACACTCCCTTTATTATAAAAAAGGATACTATATTGGCTGAAGGTGAGCCAGTGTTGGATGAAAATATTATGATGCCTGATGTGAATTTGAATACTTCGACAGAATCTCAAAATAAGGATATACAAACAAACCACACCATCTCAGAAATGGGTATTCCAAGTCATTTACAAAAGATGTGGGATGAAACTAGTCCCGAATTGAATAATGATGAGAAATTAGCATTTAAACAACTTTTATTGGAGCAACAAGGCGCATTCTCTTTATACAAAGGAGATATTGGAAGGACTACACTGGTACAACATAGAATTGACACTGGAGATACACAACCTATTAAACAACCATTAAGGAGATTACCACTTGCGAATCATCAAAAAGCCCAAGAGGAAGTAGATAAAATGCTTAAACAGGATATAATACGTCCCTCAGAGAGTCCTTGGTCATCACCCATTTGTTTAGTTAAGAAAAAGGACAATTCTATCCGATTTACGATTGATTATAGAAAGGTCAACAATGTCACCCGCAAAGACTCTTATCCTTTACCTCTCATAGAGGAGAGTTTAAATGCTCTGGAGGGAGCAAAATGGTTTTCTAGTATTGACTTGAGTAGTGGATACTGGCAAGTTGCCATGGATCCTAGTGATATTCCTAAAACAGCCTTTGCTGTTCCAGGGAAAGGATTATATGAATTCAATGTGATGCCTTTTGGATTATGTAACGCTCCTGCTACTTTTGAAAGATTAATGGAAAAAGTACTAGCAGAAGACCTATATAAATTCTCTCTATTGTACATCGATGATGTGATAATTTACTCTAAAACCTTTGATGAACATGTTAATAATGTCAACACAGTGATCAACAAACTAAAAACAGCAGGACTAAAATTATCTCCCTCAAAGTGTCAGCTCATGAAACGTTCTGTAAAATTCCTAGGACATATTGTATCTCATGAAGGTATTAGTACAGACCCGGAAAAGATCAAAGCAATAATTACCTGGCCAACACCTGTGAATCTAAAGGAAACACGAGCTTTCCTAGGACTTGGTAGCTACTACAGACGCTTTATACGTGGATTTGCTGAGATAGCCAAACCACTATACAGACTCTCTGAAAAGAATGCTGTATTCAAATGGACTGAGGAATGTCGAATTGCATTTGAAAAGATCAAAGAACGTCTAGTTGCATCTGATATTCTAGCGTATCCAAATCCTCATGGAAAATTTATATTGGACACAGATTGCTCAGCATTCGCAATGGGAGCTGTACTTTCGCAAGAACAACAAGATGGACAATTGAAAGTGATTGCTTATTTTTCAAAAACTCTATCAGCCCCCCAAAGGAAGTACTGTGTAACAAGGAGAGAACTTTTAGCTGTAATATCTTCAGTAACCCATTTCCATCACTATGTTTATGGACGTAAATTTCTTCTTAGAACGGATCATGGATCTCTCACCTGGCTACTTCAGTTTAAAAATCCGACTGGACAAATGGCTAGATGGCTTGAGACATTGGGAATTTATGATATGGAAATTCAGCATAGAGCAGGACATCTACATGGAAACGCTGATTCCTTGTCAAGGAGACGATGTGGAGATTGTTCTTATTGTAGCAGAAAGGAATTACAAAATACTGACCCCGATACATCCCAAGGCTGTGTTGGCGAAAACATTGATTCGGATATATTTGATGATCCTGTTATGGAACCTCCTGAAACTGATGTAAAATCCCAAGATGGAGAAGCAGTCGCAGTTAGAGTGTTAACAAGAGCTCAACAAAAGCATTTGGATAAACCACCCACAGCTAAGTCCTCACAGGATATTCCAGATGATCTAATATATTCTTGGCCAACTTCAAAAAGTCCTGAGGAACTTCAAAGTGCACAACAAAATGATCCCTCCCTGAGTAAAATTATTCAATGGAAAACCCTTGGAGTACGTCCAAAATGGGAGGATATATCATCATTATCTCCAGTGCATAAATCATATTGGTCACAATGGAATAGGATTCATTTTATAAATGGAGTATTATATCGTAAATGGATTCCTAAAAAGGGAAAGAAAGCTGTTTGGCAGTTAATATTACCAAAATGAATGCAAACAAAAGTCCTGGAACAACTACACGAGTCCTCTTGTGGTGGAGGTCACCTAGGAGTAAAACGCACTCAGGATAGAGTACAAGGACGAGTATATTGGCATAATTATATTGTGGATGTAGAAAGATGGGTCAAAAGTTGTATGCGTTGTCAATGTAGAAAACATCCAGCTAAGCATCCCAAAGCTAAAATGAAATCATATAATGTAGGATATCCCTTGGAAAGGGTAGGAATGGATATTCTTGGTCCCATTAGAAGGAGTCGTCATTTTAAAAATAAATACATATTAGTGATACAGGATTACTTCAGCAAATATGCAGAAGCAATTCCCTTACCAAACATAGAAGCTGTAACTGTAGCAAGAGCTTTTATAGATGGATTTATATCAAAATTTGGTGTGCCACTTTCTCTCCATACAGATATGGGATCACAGTTCCGTTCCAAAATGTTTAAAGAACTATGTTCCTTATTAGGGATAAATAATAAGGTCAGTAGTATAGTCGGATATACGACCACCTTCAATACCAATAAAGGTCAGTAGTATAGTCGGATATACGACCACCTTCAATACCAATAAGGTCAGTAGTATAGTCGGATATACGACTACCTTCAATACCAATAAGGTCAGTAGTATAGTCGGATATACGACCACCTTTGTTATGTACAAGGCAACTCACAACTCAACAATTCAGACTCCCTGAAATTACAATTCAATACCAATAAGGTCAGTAGTATAGTCGGGTATACGACCACCTTCAATACCAATAAGGTCAGTAGTATAGTCGGATATACGACCACCTTCAATACCAATAAGGTCAGTAGTATAGTCGGATATACGACCACCTTTGTGATGTACAAGGCAACTCACAACTCAATAATTCAGACTCCCTGAAAATACAATTCAATACCAATAAGGTCAGTATTATAGTCGGATATACGACCACCTTCAATATCAATAAGGTCAGTAGTATAGTCGGATATACGACCACCTTCAATACCAATAAGGTCAGTAGTATAGTCGGATATACGACCACCTTTGTTATGTACAAGGCAACTCACAACTCAATAATTCAGACTCCCTGAAAATACAATTCAATACCAATAAGGTCAGTATTATAGTCGGATATACGACCACCTTCAATATCAATAAGGTCAATAGTATAGTCGGATATACGACCCCCTTCAATACCAATAAGGTCAGTAGTATAGTCGGATATACGACCACCTTCAATACAAATAAGTTCAGAAGTATAGTCGGATATACGACCACCTTCAATACCAATAAAGGTCAGTAGTATAGTCGGATATACGACCACCTTCAATACCAATAAGGTCAGTAGTATAGTCGGATATACGACCACCTTTGTGATGTACAAGGCAACTCACAACTCAATAATTCAGACTCCCTGAAAATACAATTCAATACCAATAAGGTCAGTATTATAGTCGGATATACGACCACCTTCAATATCAATAAGGTCAGTAGTATAGTCGGATATACGACCACCTTCAATACCAATAAGGTCAGTAGTATAGTCGGATATACGACCACCTTTGTTATGTACAAGGCAACTCACAACTCAATAATTCAGACTCCCTGAAAATA